GAAAGGTAACCCTTATCCGAAGCTCTGGAAATGAACTTGAGAGGGCTGCCATTCTTCCATTCTTCCGGTGAGCCGCTGAACATCCCGCTTCGTTTTCGGCTCAGGAAGGTCGAGCGCCGCTTGACTTTAGAGGGATTGGCATCAATCCCCCTTTTGCTGACTATGAACCCAAGGAATTTCCCTGACTTCACGCCGAAGACACACTTCTTCGGATTCAGCTTCATTTGATGCTTTCTCAAGGTGGCAAAAGTTTCAGCCAGGTCCTTTACATGGTCCTCTGGTTTTTTGCTTTTGACGATCGAATCGTCAACATAGACTTCCATGTTTCGGCCCTTTTGATCGGCAAAAACTTGATCCACCAGCCTTTGATAGGTTGCCCCCGCATTTTTTCAATCCGAAGGGCATCATTTTGTAATTGTACACCCCAGCGTTCGTGACGAATGCTGTCTTTGCTCGATCGTCGGGGTGCATAAAGATCTGATGATACCCCGAGAATGCGTCCATGAAACTAAGCAAGGCATGGCCACTTGTCGAATCGACTAGCTGATCGATCCTCGGCAAGGGATAGAAATCCTTTGGACAAGCCTTATTTAGGTCCGTGAAGTCAACGCACATCCTCCAGATACCATTGGCCTTCTGAACCATCACCACATTTGCCAGCCATTCTGGATATTGGCAAGGTTCGATGAATCCTGCCTCCAGCAATTTTTTGACCTCGGCTGCGATGTCTCGGTTCTTATTGGCGGAGTAATTCGGATTCTTTTGCTTAACTGGTCGACACGTTGGGTCAACATTAAGCTTATGGGAGATGAGGTCTGAACTTATCCCGGGCATATCAGTTGCCGAGAAAGCAAACACATCTCTGTTGTCCCGAAGGAGCTGAATAAGTTCACAACGGGTGTTCGGATCAAGGTCCATCCCGATTGTTACACATTTCTCAACGTCTCCTTCGGTCAACTCAACTGTTTCAGTCTGTTGGTCCATGTCCATTGCTGATGGACTGGACTCTTCATAATCTGGCCTGCTGCCAATGTCAGCAGGTGTCGCAGTCTTTTTGTTCTTCGGCTGGCTCTCTGAGTCTTGCGGCTCAGCTGAAGAGCTAGCCTTTTCCCTTTCGGGCCCTTTACCTCTGGGTACAGATCCTTGGGCCGAAGCACTTAGGCCTTTCGGCTTTTTGTGCTCGGCTCTCTTTCTTTTTCTTTCTCCTCCTCATCCTTGTCATCTGGGCGACTATTGGATGGTTTGAGGTAGTTGCACCTTCGGGCGTCCTTTTGGTTGCCCTATATCCTTTCGGGGAAGCCGGCGTCTGAGACGTAAATCATCAGCTGATGATAAGTTGAGACGACCCTTGGATCTCGTGAATTATGGGTCTCCCCAAAATCACGTTGTACACTGAAGGATCGTCAATTACCAAAAATTCAATCATGACGTTCCTGGCTGCCTCATCGCAGCCGATGGTGACAGGAAGTGTCACCTTCCCATCTGGATAAGTTGAAGCCCCGTTGAACCCGGATACCGGGTAGGGTACCGGCGTAAGATGCTTGGGCTTCAACTTGATTTGATTGTAGGCCTTTCGAAACAGAATGTTTGCTCCGCTGCCACCGTCAACAAGGACCTTACTGACGTCGTGGTTGGCCACCATGGCGATGATCACCAACGGATCCTCGTGAGGGAACGTAATCCCCCGGCAGTCGGCGGCTGTGAACGTCATGTTCGGCACCGGCGACTGGGGAGATTGAATGTCAGCGTTGTTCACCTGGTGAGTCAAAGCTCTAAGGTGTCGCTTGTGCTCCCTCCGAGAGTATATTCCTCCCGAGATAACATTGATCGGAGGGAATTTCCCCTCCGGCTTTTTACTGTTTTTCCGGGGGAAGTCGAGGTCTTGCCGAGAGTCCTTTGCTGACTTCTCGGATTCTTTTTTCTCGCGGTGATCCGCGATGTATTTTTTCAAGTATCCCTTCCGGACCATGTCCTCTATCTGGTCCTTCAGTTGGATACACTCCTCAGTGTTGTGTCCCGAAGACTCGTGGAACTCGCACCACTGATTTTTATTTTTTCGCTGATACCACTCTGGGAGTGGTCTCGGCTTTCGGTAACTCTACTCCTCCTTCGTCACGCTGTAAATTTTGGCGCGTGGAAGAGAGAGCGGAGTGTAGGACTCGTATCTGCCTGTGTATGAGGCAGATCTTTCCTTCTTTGGGTCGCTGGCCAAAGATTGCTCCGAGGCCTTTGACTTTCCCTTTTCCTTATGGCTTTGGCCTTCAGACAAGGGTATTTGCCTTTGTTTCCCTCCCCCAAATTGAGGTTGGGTTTTCGCTTTGTTCCATTCTTCGGCTCGGATGAACTTATCCGAGGCATTCAGAGCTTCCTCCAAGGTCTGCGGGGTATGCATGACCATGAAGTCTAGGAACTTTCCGGGCTGAAGGCCATTCTGTATTGCAAAAACGGCTAGCCCCTGGTCCAGCTGAGAGACGCTGGATGACTCGTTACTGAAACGGGTCAGATAGTCTCGGAGGCTTTCGGTTTCCCCCTTTTGTAGACTCATGAGCTCTGCAGTAGTCTTCTCTCAGCGGTTTGCCGTGGAAAACTTGCTCCTGAACTTGGAGGACAGATCATCCCACCCTGTTATGGAGCCTTGCCTTACTCCCTTGGAGATCCACGCTTGCGCGACCCCCTTGAGAGTGGTTGGGAAATATTTGCACCAAGTCGCCTCGGATCTGGGGCAAAGATGCATATGAGTCTCATACGAGGCCACGTGATCCTTCGGATCCGAGGTCCCGTCATATGTGATGTGCGACGGTATTTTAACCGTGGGTACGCGCTCTTCCAGTATCCATTGCTCGAATGGTGAACTGGCGGGTAGCATAACGGCCTTGCCCTTGTTCCTGGCCGAAGGGACCGCGCTCTGCCCTCTTAGAGAGGTAGGAGTGGTTTTCGTCCCTGGATGGGAAGTCTGGGCCTCGGCTGCAGGGAACGAGAGGCGACTGCGCACGCTCGGTTCCTTGCCGCCGAGTCGGTCAAGGACGCTTCGGCGAACAGTCTCAGGTTCTCGGTGAGTAGATTCTGGCCGAGAAGCTGAGCTGCTGCTCTTATGCGCTTCTGGTCTTGAGGATGAGGATCCTTTTAAAAATTGAGGGTTCTTTTTCCTCTCTTTTTCATTTTTCCAGGAATCCTCTTCCCACTCTTCCAATTCCCGGAAGGAAGGAAGCTTCCCACCATCATGGTCTAACTTCCTCCGCTGATGTCGGGTATGCGGAGGAGTTCGATCACGAGGTGGTGGCATATTTTGTGCCCTCATCGCCTCAATGAGCACTGCCAGCGCTCTTGCCACCTCTTCCGAGATGGGCCCCGTCAAAGGGGTCCTCGGCCGAGTATGGGAATGAGGGCGCGCAGCCGATGGTTGGCTTTGGGGCACTGAATGTGTCCTATGATCGGACTCACCCCTGCTAGACCGAGAGTGACTCGGCCTATAATGAGAGTCATGAATTACGGGAGAAAGGGAATCCTCCTTGTATGATCCTCCCCCCGAGCTGACACCCTTGGGAGAGTTCCGGTCCGGCGAGGGTGATGGCGTAGGGGTTTTAGGCTTTTCGCCCGCTCCTTGACGGAGGCTTTTGCTCTTGCGGTTCTTAGCCATTGCTACTAAGATAATTGCAAGATGATCTTGGTTAGAAATTTGGCTTAAAGATTTTTGAAAGTCTTCCCCACAGACGACGCCAAATTGTTTCGGGTGAAAACAATGGGACCTTGCCGAAGGTCCGCTGAAACGGAGAAGACTGGATTCGGTCCAAGTTATGCTGGGTCGAAGGTTTCCTGCACAGTAAACACACGTAAACTAGCCTCGGGGGTGTTGCCGAGGAAGGCCCCTCCGATGCTAAAGTCAGTACAATGTGTAGAAAGAGAACACTATGCAAGAGAATTAGTTGCTTGAGGCTTTGCTTGAATATATGAGAATGTATGGGAATCTATGAGAATATGTGAATTTGTCAATATATCCCTAAATGTATGAATATTGATGGCTTTTATACCTCTTCATACATGGAGAGGTTGGGCTTTAGCCTAATTGGCTTGCTTTGAGGGCTGACCTTTGACTTTAGCACAATTGGAGAGTTGAACCTTGACCTTGGGCTTTTAATTGGATCATTTAATGCCTAGGCCCAATTGGACTAAATTGGACCCAAACAGTGCCAAAATCATTACACAGGCTTGGAGACTTTGGAACGAGAAGGCTGCACTAGAGCTGGTAGACTCTTCATTCATTAACAATTTTTCCATTGAAGAAGTGAAAATATGCATCCACATAGGTCTACTCTGCATCCAAGAAGATGCAACTAAAAGGCCTCGAATGACCTCAGTTGTTGCTGCATTGAACGGGCAGTCTGTTACTCTACCTTTGCCTAGCACTCCCACTTCCTCACCGCTAATATTGACACTGATGAAGACCAGCAAATCCTTCATGATCGTATCGTTGATGTGTATACAGGATCTGAGAATATCACAGAACTCTGTCCTAGATAATGCCGCAAATTGCAGTATTTATCAATAGTGTGGAACTTGCAAAACACAAAGTGTCAAATCTCAAATGAGCTTTTCTTCTGTATAGTTGTCTTCACCTCTTTCGTTTCGACTAACCACATTTCTGATTTTCATGCATTAAACTCTATACAAGAAGAGTGAACGAACAATTGGCTTAACTAATGCAGAACCTGTTGTGAAAAATGATCACTTTCAACTTCTCCCAAAATTCATGCATGATTAAACCTTCCTTCACAGAAGTAATACATACATAACTAGCTACTTCGATAATTAGAAGTATTGACTAACTAATAAATCGAAGAAATGACAGTGTTGACTAAATTATAAGTAGTTTCCAACTTTTCTTACAGCAGTAGTAGACCTAGTACTATTACTGTATTAGTACATCCATTTATTAATGCTTATCTTGTATACCAAATTTTCACCTGAACAGAATTGTCAATGAAATGTCCAATTTTTCGTTGTTTTGTCAAACAATTTGATGTTTGATTGTTTTATTGAAGATTTGAGTTTGTTTAGCAGGTCAATTTTATCTTTTGAATAAACAGGTTAAGGTGTTGGTTTCGAGTTGAAAATATCCCATCTAAAACTAAAATTCTAACATAGATCTGATTATGGGGCGGGCAGGGTTGGACCTTGGCAAAACAAAGTTGGCTCATTGTAGGACAAAGCTTAGGATCAAGCCCAAGTTTGGCCATATAGTGTTTGGGCCAGGCCAATGGAATAGCCAAATCCAAAAGAATCAATAACTAACATTAGTTTATGGAATTATTTATGTATCAGACAAGCTCGAAACTCTAAACGTGTTCATTTTTATTTTGTTTTGTTTTTTTAACCATATGTTAATCGAATTTGTACAGTTTGTACTTATTGTTTCCTCCCTCATTAGGCCCTCCTCATACCCGGCACGAATTAATTACACTTTTAAATGAGGGGTGGATGAGATTCGAACCCGTGACCTCTATGTCACGTTGGCTCCGATACCATGTTAGAAGACCAACTCAACCAAAAACTTAAATTGTTGGTTGAGGCCCAGAAATATGTTATATACTCTATCAATACCATTTCGAGATGGAAACAAAGAATGTCCGCATGCAAGCATGAGATGCAAATTGCAATCGGTCAAATATTAGGAATTCTAGCTTAATTAGCAGCAACATGCATTAGCAAATTTCATTTAATTAGTTGGTAAAGTGTTTAATATATTGTACTTTTATGATAGACTTATGCTCAAATTAAACCATTTTCATGTCTAGTCTAACTGTCTAAGTTACTTGAGACAAATTAAACTGTCACGCAATGTTGTTCTTTTGTTCCACTTGTATAATTAAGGAAAGTCAAACAAATCTAGATGCAGCAAATGACCGCAGCCCGCTGAGTAGGTAGCAATCGTAGCATTAATATAAGTTTATAATCCGTTTTTTTTCAAGTACTACTACTTTGGCGGAAATTAATTTATCTAATATAATGATCGGGCTACCTTCTTCTCAAAAAAAGAAAAAAAAAACCCCTTACAATCCGTAGTATGTAGGGGTGCAAATGAGGTAATAAATTTTTTTCTTTTAAAAATAAAAGTTTATAATCCGTAATATATAGAGGTGCAAATGAGGTAATATGTTTACGTATGAATCAATTATGGTCCAAATTGAATGTGAAGCTATTAAACACACTTGAACGAAATCTTAATTAGCTTGCTAAGTACATGGGGCATACATGGACAAATGTTTATGTTCAACTCAATAAGAAAATGAGCTAAGCTTAAAGAACTCGTCTATTAATCCTTCCATTATATATTAAAAATACCATTGTACATCGCTTAATAGTCATTTGATGGTATTATAAAACCTTTTAGCAATATAAACAAAAATATCTAAATCGTACAACTAGCACAAGTAGTAAAGGCTTTGCGATACAAAATAATTTGAGTACACCTCAAACTCAAAGACTGACTAAAATCGGTCAAATTAAAAACAACCTTAAGAGTCAAGACACACTTTTGAAAAGATGTAAAATCCATCAAACATAAGTCTTCCAAGATTACGACTGCATCTAAATTTGTAAAGCCATAATTCAAATTAATTAGTAGTAGTATCACATTTATATGTATCTTGAGGTTTAAGACTCTAAATTTACCAAATTCACATTGAAAATAAATGTGTTCCCATTTTGCCAGCTACATTATACTGTCCTAATCCCTAAACCTTAATAATTACATGCCGTACATATAGCTGTTGAGTCTAAACACACCCTCGTCACGTGTAAAATTTGTTAGGGTCAAAAGAAAAATTGAGTGGTAATTTTTCTTTTGGAAATTAAAGTAGATTGTATAACAGAAGTAAGTGAGGATTTTAAGGGAAAATCCTTACTTTTTACCTTTAAAGCAAGCGAAAATATGACATTTTTCGGCGGAACAGTTAACTTTCACACTTCACATGCCCAAATTTGCAAAGCTACTTCTTGTGTTTGGGTTGTCATTTGTTGAATTTATGACGCTTTATAAACAAGTTTCTCATCACACAAGCATTCTAGATAGTTCTCCCTTGTCCGTCGCAACTTAGTGAACTTACTTGTTCCGTAACTATTATTTCGTACATTTACTAGTAGAGGTGTCAAAAGCACATCTAACCCGATCCGATCCAAAACCAGTTCGAAAAAAATCCGATTTAGATTTGAAGTCGCATGGACAAAACAATTTAGTATGACTTAACTTTAAAAATTTACTCAACCCGACCATATCAGATCCGATCTGATCATCCGAATTGACACCCCTATTTACTAGTGATTTTATATACTACCTTCATTTCATATTATTTGCAACAATTAGACGTTTTTCCTCTCTAATTTATTTTAAATCGTTGCAAATGGTATAAAACGAAGGTACTAAGTGAAAAGGTAAAGAAAACAAATTGAATGGATGAGCATAGACCCAACTCAATTGTAAAAAAATATTTCCTTAAAAGAATCGAGATCAATAAATTTGATTAGTACATCTAATCTTAAAAATACGTAGTTAAAATTTTTACGTAGTATTTATTAAGAATACCTTCCCTACTCTCCCCATGAAATATAATGCATGGGTAGTTTGGAAGATGACATACAAACGTACAATTGTACGCACAAATATTTTGTCTATACGTACAAGCATAGAAAGCTTGTCGTAGCTAGGTGGTCACGAAAGATATAGAAGCAAAGTATTGGTCTTATACTATGGGTTGCATGACTAATATCTCATTGGAGAGTAGAGAGTTTGTTGGTATTATCCCATATTTGATAAAACACTTGTACGTTACCTTGTACGGAGTATCATAATAACTTGCATCTACAAAGTACGGAGTATAATTTTGGGTCGTCATATACATAATAAACAATAATTGGAAAACCTATACACTTATAGTAAAGTTGGATGATATTCTTGTATTTACTAGGTTCGCAATAATTGCTGACATCCATTTATACAATATATATTAATACAATCGCTTACATTATTGTATTGTATATAAATTATCTAAATAATACTTATTTTGTGGTTTTTTTTTTTTTTTTTTGAGGAAATTTTTGTGGTTATTTATATATCTTAATTGTTACTATTTTGTATTTAAATATAAGAGAGATATTTTCTAAACAAGAAAAAACAACCAATAGATAATACGGAGTATAATAACACTAAATAATGTTATTCAAAAAAATGTATATGTACTAATATATGTCATCGTTTTTTATTTTAATCTACACATACTAACAAAGTATCGGTTATATATAATTTTACTTCTCTTCCAATCCTTATTTCTTTAATAAAACAAACTATAATGAAGAATATGTTCACTTTTATATTAGGTTAACAATCTTAATATCGTATTTCAATGACAACGAAAAATGTATGGTATCATCTGATTTGATAAATAGTTTCTCAGTTTCTTTTATTCAATAGTATATATAGTACATTAAGCTCATTCCGATGAATGCCATTTTTAAGTGATGGTAAATGCACGCAATAGTGTTAGTTGCCTATTGATGTAGCACTCTAATATTTCATCGCATTCAAGCTGACCAAAATGATATAAAATTTGGTAGCTTAAAAAAAACATACAAGTATAATTAGATTTGTAGTGATATACGTTAGTGTATAGGAAACAATACTCTACCATAAAAACATAGGTTGCCAAAGAGTAACGAAAACAACACGTAGCTATTCTGATCTTTTTGTCCATCAAGTAATTTCAATATTCACAAATGCAAGTACATAGTACTCTATGTTTTAGTAATGTACTAATTTAACTCTTTTGTACTTCTAGGAAACTTTACAAGCCTCATCCTTCTCTTTTCTTTCTGTCTTGTACAAATTTAATTTAATGTCGAGATTAATTCAAGATGTAAATGTCATAACTACCTTGCGAATTCACACAACATTCCCCGCACGACCTCTTTCGGTCTTTCCACCCTAGGTCACACTTCTAAAAAGACTCGAGAATCTGATAATTATACGGAATATGACTTATCTCTCGCCTCTCCTCTCCGCTTCTCTTCTAAGGTTTCTCCAAAATATTGGTCGTTTAAGCCGGAAACAATCTAATTTCTTTGGAGATTAGACTATTTTCGACCCTTTTTCCTTAATTTTATTTGGTTTTTCAATTTAGGTTTCAATAAATCTACACACAGGTAGTGTAGATATTATTATTATTATTATTATTATTATTATTACAAAACTAAAATTGGTTTTTTTAAAAAACTTAAATAAGGGTATGTTCTAATAGACTGAAATCAGCTGAACTGAACTGAGCTGAGCTGAGCTGAACTGAACTGAACTGAACTGAAAATAAACGTATGAGAATAGGCCCTAATTAAGTAATTATACTGAATTAAAAATTCTATTGAATTGGAATTATTTTGATTGGTTCTTTAATATATTCCTTCTTTAGAGTTACTGATGTTTACTAAAGTATTATTTTTACTGAAATGATTTTTTTAAGGTAAAGTGAACAAGGCCTAATACAGTTATATATTTATTTTTAA